CACGAATTATGAAGTACCGCCCGCGACATGGTTGACGATCAAGCCTAGTACCTTATACCTAAAATTACCTTAGCTTATCCAGGGACCAGTAGTGTGTGGCACCATTCTTGGTATCCTGAACCTCAACCGCTACAACAGTTTTAGAAGGTGCTCCTTCATCATCTGTATCGTAATCGATTGCTGGGCGTAGATCAACCGGAAGTGGTGAATACAATGTGTCGGTCAGCAAAGTGAACTGGAATTGAACCTACACAAACAATGAATTAGTTAATATGTAAGGTATTGGTGGTAGTGGCACACTCACTTTCTTCTTCAACTCCACAGATATGGCGTTCGCTTCCTTGAGGAAGATGGCGTTGCCCCAGAGGTCGTCTCGAAGCGATGTGAACTGATGATGCTTCCATTTACGCCACGCCGTCGCTGCCAGTTCGTACTCGCGTTCGCTCCAATTGCACTCTGCGTCAAACAGAGGGTTCACTGCAAACATTTGCGGCTCCCCATCAATACCTCACGGAGGACGCGTAAGCGAGCACAACGCGAAATTTCTAATTGAAGATGGCAACCCCTAGACAGTCTGTTTCATGTAAACATGGCGCAAGGTCTAAGAAAGATATTTTAGTGGCAGAAATTAAAATACCAAATTGAAACTTTACCATTTAACTGAAATTACTATTTTTTATTCTTTTAACATGCATGACTTTATTGACTGTGCATCAACATTAATATTAGTACTTCATTGTGCCATGATTAATTGAGAAAGGACTAAACTTTGCGCATGTTTACATGAATGACTTGTCGTGGTCCCAACGATCTTAAGTTTTCCAATTTGGTTCGTTTTACGGTATTTCTTCAACGGTTTGGGGCGAATCAAGAAACTTAACTTACCAAAAATGTCGTCCTCGTTGTTGAAATCCTCCGGTGTGTATGAACTATACATTGACATCGTCATGCTCTGTTCCTCGACCTGTTTCTGCAAGGCATCGATTCGCGCCTCGTAACACTGTAATAAGATTGAATTAAAGACCGTGAACCGCCATTTGTCATCTAATGCAAATTACTTTTCTTTGCTCCTCAAACAATTGGTCAGCGGTTTCCTTTTCTTTGCGATATTGCTCTTCGAGGTTCAACAAGCGCTTCTCCATCTCGGCCTTCAGATCCACACCCTGCTTCTCCAGCAGTTCAATTTGTGCGTAGTTCCAGTCCACGGGTTCAGCTGGACTGCTATTCTCGCGTTTCTCACGCGGTGCGTCGGGATTATTAAAGCGGAACACGTGATTCTTGCCAAGGATAACACGACTTCCGGTCTTCAACACGATGGGCTCAATCACCTCGCGACCATTCACGTAGATCAATGCGCCGTTCATTGGCGTCAGTGTGATAACGCCATCCTTATTCTCAAACGTGCAGTGTTCCGGTTTGATGTGTGACCCGGAAAGCTGCACATCCTGCGGAAGGTTTGCCTCCGCGGAACCAACGCGTGTCGCCCCGTCTTTGATGTAGTATATGAGGCATTCGGACATTGAGGGATCCTCGTTCAAGTTGACCAAGTGTGGAGTGCGTTTCGGGGAAAATACGCCAACGGTAATACCGTCCTCCTTGACGGCAACGCCCATCTCGGCAAAGACCGCCTCGCGCTGAATTCGAATCGCCTCGGTACGCTTCAATTTCTCCTCCCAAGTCTCGTTCAGTTCTATAAAAGCAGGCATCCAAAGCAAACCCTGATTAAAACAGACATTTTTCCCGGGCGATGATTAAAATTACCAGCAATGAGTTTTTCGCTGGCTTGTAGCTGATCGACCGCCTCCTCCGCGATGGTCGTAGATGCGGTACGCATTCTGTGATTCTCATTGTTCTCTTTGTTGTTACGCGTCACCTCCTCGGCGCCTAAGCGAATAAGAAGTACAAACACATTGATCAATCCGTATCCCGTTTGTTCATTTCAATTGAAATAAAAAGCGTTGAGTACACATTCCATTTTACATATACATGTACAGGACAACAAAGAAATGGCAATCGAACGCAAAGTAAAAGATTTGAACAGAAAGATGAATCATATCGCCACAGCCTAGGAAGCTAAAAATTACGTTCGAAAGTACAAAAACATATAAAATTGGCACTTGTCGTTCAGTGGTAACAGAAATGGCCAAATATGAGAGCTTCTATGGCAGACAACGACGTCTTTGATATCGGCGAATAAGTTTGGATCGATTTGATATGAAGGCGCAAGCCGTACACAATAAATAGGCATGGAAGCTCAAAGTATACTGGGTGTTCAGAAAATGGCGCCACTTTAAACACTCGCTAGCATTTTCTGGCACACCCTGCATGTAGTGTGTTGTTCGAGACAAAGTACAATACAAGAATCGTTATCGTGTGGGTATGTTGATTGTATTATGCGTACGCATACGAAATGTACGTGTACTTACGCGTCGGCTCCCTTTTTTCATACACAACTTTACCATCGGGGCCTATTGCGAATTCGTGCGTTCGAGCGGGGCAATATAATACACAAAATCAGTTACACGAGCTGTTAATTATGCAACAAAGTGTGTAGTAAGGTAGAGCGTGTGTTCGAGCCGTTTCTTGGATAGCTTGCCTCGTTTTTGAATATCTTTTAAATTTCATTCAAAACTTGATTTTGCCAATTTGAAAAATTTTTCAACAAATGTACATTTTCTAATCGCATGCAAATATCGATCTCACCTTCGTGGACTTCAATGCCCTCTTGCTTCAGAAGCTCGCGCAGTTTCTGTATCTCTTCCTTGAGTTCACGAATAAGTTTGGCGTTGGCGTCCTCGTTGACAATGGCCTTGCAGACAATCTGTTTCGCACGATCGGCGTATCTGCAGAAGCAAGAAACGTTGAGATACTTGCGTTTCCACTAGACATGAAGCGCATTCTACCTTAATGTGGATAGAGTTTCATCGTAATTAATATCCGCCGGCGAGATGGCGGCAATCATGGCGGTCTTACTGTTTCCACCGAGATTCTCACGAAGCAACCAGGTCAACACCGAATCGCGATATGGGATGAAGTCAGCCTTCTTGGACTTCTTATTCTTAGATGCCTAGAAGTAAAGTAATTGTCATGCACCGTCCTCATGCAATTTCTGAAAGCTTGTGTCTCTGAAACTTACCGACTACAGCCCGAGGCATTCCGATTTGCAACGTGACAAGCAATGAATAACAGAGCACATGTTTTCAATTTCTGTTCATCGTGACGCGCTGTACAATGAAATATACTTACGATTTCAGCGAGTGCCGAAATAACTTTGCCCAACGTAGTCAAACTCTTGTTGATGTTGGCGCCTTCCTTGAGACGGGTACCCTTAGCGCCTGTGGAGTCAGCCCTTTCGGACCCGGCCAAGTCCACCAGAGAGATCTTGGAGACTTTCTCTGTGCATAAATCTGTAGTTTCGTCATATCTGTAATCCACAAACGCATGAAGTAAACCAAAATTTAAAAAACCAAAAATTACCTCTGTTGTGTAAAGAAAATAGTGAAAACTGCATGTGAACGTGAGCTAGTCTCGTTCATGTTTGTCGCGGCAACAGTACGAGCCTTATTGCCCTCATCGATCAAATCGTGAATGTCTTCGTAACTGGTCACTGCCAGTTTACTAAGGTCCTCGACATAGGGCCCAAGTAGCGGATGTTCTCGCACACGCAGATTGCCTTTATTTTTCGGATTGAGCAGATCGCGGACACGTTCGCAGTAGATTTCCATGTAGGAAACTTCCACCGAGTATTTAATCTCGGCATTGCTAGTGTCGCGGATGCGCTTGAAGAGATCCTTGCAGATTTGTGGAATGATTCCCTCTTGGCCCTCCTCCTGCCTGCCCATCATTGTGTAGGACTTTCCGGCGCCCGTCTGACCATACGCAAAAATGCATACGTTGTATCCTTCGAAGGAGTGTTCCAACATCTCCTCGCCGATATCTTTGTACACGATGGATTGAGAAGAGAACTCTGGATCATCCTCCTGTACGAAAAACACAAAATGTGTGCCGTAGAATCACTCACAGCTACTAAATATAAGTCTTACATTGTGGGACCAGTAGGAATAATCAAAGTTGAAACTTTTCTTGTCTTCCTTGGAACCAGGTGGTCCCTTTGGGTTGGCGATGACTGAAATTTAGATTAATGAACATGAACACCAGATGTTTTGGTTTGGAGGAATGACTCTAAGTAATTACCAGTGGTGTTGCCTCCCATTTCGATGATGCATTTGCATTCGCGTCCGATCTCCCTGTTGTTGAAGGGCCGGACGCGCACCGCCACCTTGACCGAAGACATGTTGCCGTTTGGTTGCGTCTCTGCTTGTGTACGAAGTCACGCTCTGAAAACAGCGCACACCGTGAGCAGGGGCCGTGTCGATAACTTAATTATTCAATCAGATCCGTAAATAATGCATTTATAAAGTTCAAAGTCCTTGATTGTCGACATGTTGTGTCGTCGGTTGTTTTTGGGTGGCACAAAACCGGGTAACATATTGCCCGACGTGTCCCGTCGTCCTATTCAAACACCTTTACCCATTCCAAGTTCTCTTTCGTCCGCTTGCTCAGTATTGCAGTTGTTTTCGAGTTATGTATTTCTCATGCGAAGATGCGAGCATGAGAGAAAACAGATGCAACCGTCTGCGTTGCGGAATAATACATGAAAGGGCTGGCGATTGTGAGGCGGCGGCGGCGGTGTGTGTTTACGAAAAAAAATAATACAGCGCCAGAACATCTCGAGATAAAGAGTGGCGCTCCGCCGCTAACAAGAAAAGTACGTGTAAGGGTGTAGGAAACAGAAAGACGTCCGAAATGCGACCGCAGGGAGTTCGCAAGTGAACAGGTACGCGCGGCATGGCGGCGGTGGAAAGGGCGCCGCACTAAATTTCCTAATATTTACGACATTAGACGGCCGACTCGAGGGCGAGCAACGCACGGCACAAATACATACGTCCGCCGCACGCCCGCAGAACGAAAATATAAGAGCCGTGCTGAATTTTTCATCGAGCCGCCGCCACCGCTGCATTCATACGTGCGCCGGCAGTTTTCAACCTTTAACAAGTTCGCCGTGCAATAAAATAAATATATTTATTTTTTTAATTTATGTACTGTTTACTATTCGCTGGAGAAATAGCACGAAAAAGAACTCAGAATCGATTACGAGCCAAAAGCACAATTACGTCGGTAATCACAATCACCATTGTGAGGAGAATTCGGCTAACAAAGACGTGCGTAATCAAGTGGCACAAAAAATGCTTTCATACATTTTCATTCAATTTCGGCAAATTATTGCCGGGTATGAAAGACAGAATATACTAATGGCATTAGCAGCGTAAGTAACGGCAGGTAATAGCATTTCCCAATTCGTCCACACTTAACAAATTGACGTTTTCATCAAGTTCCTGCTCGAGTAGCGGTTCAAGTTAATTATTAATTTGCCCAGTCTTGGCCCCGGGTAATCTTAGCCTGGCATCGTCGGCTTTCCGTGCCAATTACTTGAATTAAAGGCTTTGAGTGACCTCGACATCTAGCCGCGGATCGCAATCTCTCACAAACTCGGAAAATCCAATACAATTCTCAACAAATACAAAATGACCATTTTTAAAATGAAAGTTTTAAGTAAGATTGACAATCCAGTTGCGAAATTTCACGTTGTAACACAATCCCCCTACTCCACATTCGTGTCGTTCTAAGTTAATGAAGTTATTGATTCGCTTTCAGTGTTTATCGCGCCATAGAAAAGTTAAGCTTTAATTTTAGCACATCAATACAATGTTCATTGAATGAACCCTCAAAAGTTACGTATCCAACATCAGGAAACGTCAGAGACGTCATTAAAACATTGAAACATACGCAGAGGTCATGTAGGTGGTGGGTTGTGAAACATTAGATTTTCCTCAACATTAGACGGGTAACGACAACGAATGACGTTGGTACTTACAGGATAAAATCTGGACACGTCCAAAATAAATAATAGTTGTTACCTCAAAATGGCCGTGCTTGTTTTTCAGTGTATACGTTAGTTGGTTGTATTTCTCTGCACTCGTAGAGACATTTCGGGTGATTTTCACTGGAAGATACTCGATTCACTTGACCGATTCCTTCACCTGAATTGAACTGAACCGATGTGAACTTGCGATCGATTAAACACACTCCCACACACGTATGCACACATGCACTGCGCGCCAACCGACCACACTGCAAAAGGCAACTTCGACCACCCCCGATTATACAATCCACGTAGTAGATCCTGTCCGCGGGATTTGATGCTGCTTACCAATGGGCCTTGCTGGCACAGGAGCCTCGAGTGTCACTCAACGCCTCTTCAGCAGCGGCGGGCGGTTGTAGTCGCAGCGCAGCGTGCCGACATCGTCGTCGTCGTGAGCGCGTATGGCGGCGGCGAGCGTCTTGTCGCGCGGGCGCGAGTATCTTCGGCGCGGCGCCGCCGTTGCCGCGATCAATACGGCGGCGGCGCGGCCGCGGCGCCGGCGCCGCATGAATCGATATCCGTGGCGACACCCTGTATGTTGTGCACGCGCCGTGTGTGGGTTCCTGGGGCGTCGGGTCGGGGGGCGGCGGCGCGTGCACCCGCCGACGCGCCGATATTCGGCCGGACATGACCTTGCGTACGCTCTTAGGCCTTGCATTTGTATTAGGGAAATACGCCGTCGGGCAGGCCCATCGCCTCGTGATTCACCCGCCACTTAATCCAGGCGGGCAAACAAACTCTGTTGTTGTTTTCGATGCGAGTGCGCTATTTTCAGCCGAGTGACGCTCACGACGGCGGTATGATTTCTAATTAATTAGTTGCGTATACATGCAATACGCAGATCATGTTTGTCGTCGAGATGCAATTTAGAAATACCGAGGAAAATTATTTTCGCTAAGAATTTACGCTGTTTTATCAATGGCTGCCATTAATTGACAATGTAAATTGACGCAAACCAATGTAAAAATCCGTCAAACTTTGCGATATCTGCAATACCTAATATTATCAATATCAAAGATATATGTCGACATATGCCACATAATACCCATAGGGCCTCAAGAAATGAAAACCGTTCATCAAGTTTCGCATTTGCTGTCCCCGCATACAATCGCGTTTCGTGCACACGTTGGCGTTTGACGATTGGATGATTCCCAGGCTCGATAAGCAACCGAGGGCGACTTTATATGGATTATGCAATGCCATTATAACGCCCGCCTGATGCTAGTTTGCTTTCTTCGCGTAACAAGTAACCATCCGCATTGAATAAAATCATTGACGTCAATCGCCGCGTTCGCACACGCACTAACCGTCCCACGATCAATTTTCTAAGGTTCAAAAAATCAATCAGCACTCTGCGTTCCAATAAAAGTAAACCCGCCTCCCTTCCCCCATTTTTTTGAGATAATTCGAAGGATTAGTGAGTCCTTCAAGTTGGTAAGTGTTGGAGGATGTGGTTAGCCTCCAAGAGAAGGATTCAAACGGGAATATTTAAAAAAAAAACGCACAATAAAACAATGTGTTTGTCTATTTGACGTATTTTCGTTAAATTTCCTTTTTTCAATGCAGAAATGTCCCAAATCAACAAAATAAGTTGCATTTTTCAAAGTGCCCGAAATGCCCCTCTCGTTTTTGTGCCACACACTCGGTGTGGGTCATTACTTATTCATGAAATAAAAACGGTACCGTCTGTAGGAATCGCATGACTCATGTTCATGTACACGATCGACGGCGCCGTTAATCCTGCGGCGGCTGCCGGTTTTGCGCCACATAAGTTCGTTGAATTTAGCGAGTGAGTCGAACACGAAAGAAAATCAATGGCCGCAACATGACCTATCTATACGGTCCTATGCGAATTCGTCTAAATACACCCCACGTGACCAAACAGTTCGTCCCAGTTCAAGCGCAAACAAAACAAAAACATAAAACACACAAAAAATAGAAATGTTGGTATAGCATTGTTATTAAATTTTTTAGCGTGGGTGTTACGCGTTCATACCGCCCTGCTTTAGCAAATGAACTCGCACTAGCGCAGCAAGATGGGGGGAAATGTGCGGGCTGGGTCCCGGTAGGATTTCTACTCTGGCCAGTGTTGTAATGTTGAAATTAAATACTTTGACAGGTTTTTAGAGTGTCAAGACATCGAACTTACCTTTAGGATGATTTCATTTGCGGACGATTGTGATGTGAGCTTGCGGAAACAAACAGAGCACTCGCGTCCAAAACAAATCACTTTGACATTTCCAGTGAATTCGTTCGGCGCATACTAAGCGCGCAGATCAATAACGCAAGCGTAGTAAGACTCTATACAGAACCGTCTCAGACGCAACAAACATAGCTTAACTCATTTTTTTCATTTTTTTACAAGTTGTACATTCGAATATGGCGTAATAAGTTGTTTTTTAAAACTAACCTTGTTTATGTCCTACTGCGGCCATTGCAATGATGAAAAAATAAAACTTGTAGTGACAGTGAATAAAAATCAAACTTCATGCATGACTTAAATACTTTTAGTATGCATGATTTTCAATAAATATAATACGCATGCATTAGAATGTGTTTCCGTTGTTTCTCATTGGGATCAACACAATACAAGAAAGCAATCTTTGCGTGCCTTCATGTTATCAAGTTTATTTACAAATATTTACTTCAGGATGGTGCGAAACACGACAGTTACCCCCAGGCAACAGGTAACAGGAATATAGATTTAAAGTATTATGTTTTTGTTTCAGTATCGCGACTATTGGTTTGCAAAAAGAAAAATTCATTTAAATATTCATCTAATACGTTGCTGGTAGAGTCAATTAGTTCTCGCACGATCGTTGCTGTTCCTTTCGAACGGCCTGCACACACTTCGCCATCGTGGGGCTCGCCCGACTGATGGAGTCCGTCATGTAGAAGTCCTCGAGTTTCTTCAGCTTGATGTCCAGCGGTGTACTACCGATGCTGTCTTGTACAGACTGAAGTAGAAACATTAAAAATATATAAATAATTCAAAGCCTTGTAAAATAAAGTGGAATATACTTTGGATAATTCAGCAGCTTCGCGCACGAAATTGTTCGACTCGACTTGACCATAGCGCGTGAGATGCGGCGCGACCTCCTCGAGACGTCCGCGGATTTGATCCAGATTGTCGTAGGGTAGCTTGGCGTCGACGATTTCGGAAAGTGCGCGGAGAATCTTCCAGTCCTCTCGCGCTTGGCCAGGCGGTGTAACTGCCATCAAAGTCTGCTGTGCACGACCCTCAGTGTTCACATAAGTTGCTTGTTTTTCAGTGTAAGCCGCGCCCGGGAGTACAGCATCAGCCATTTCAGCGCCAGCATCACCATGATGCCCTGGCACAGATAAAAACCCGATAAAATTACCTTTAAATGGTTTGATAATGCAACAAAATACCTTGGTAGACCACAAAACAGTCCTTAGGAAGTTCCTCGCGACTAATAGTACATTCATCTGCACCCAGCAAGAACAATACTTTCAGATTTGGATTGTTCCTAATCGCGTCCACGCCTGCTTTATAACCAAGATCCAATGCTGCAACCTACACAAAAGGTGTGTATATTTTTGTTCTTGTTTGTACTTTTACACTGAAAACAATTCCTACCTGACTTGCAACCTTTTGCAGAACATTCATAACTCGCCATTTGTCATCCTGTAATTTTCCCTGTAACTGTGAGGAGACGTTTTGCACTGCAGCGAGGACACCAGCGCCATCTTCGCGCTCCAACACATCGGCGCCGACGATAATAAGCGGCTTCTTCGCAGATTTGAGTTTCTTAGCAATGGGATGCGTGTCATTGGCGATGTCCTTGATCACCGATGGACTATCGCCCAAGTGTTCGTATTCGTATCGCATGTCGACTTTCGGACCAATCACTGCAATCTAAAGAGAGGTTAGGGTTAATTCAACATGGCGGCAAACTATTTGGCTACTTACATCCGCTTCATTATGAACGTAAGACTTGCGAATCCTAGAATTCAACGTAGGTGCTTCCAATCTTGGATTGGTGCCGATAAGTAGAATAAAATCAGCTTCCTCCACCGGAGCGATTTTATTATTCAGCAAATAGTTGGACCTGAAGTCAGTCGCACTGGCATCCATCGGGAAGATATGCTCAGTGCAACAATCCTCAGATCCCAAACGATTGACTAAATCCTTGAGCGCAATCAAAGATTCCGCATCAGCCAGTCCACCAGCAATAACGCCCACATTTCCCTTCGCATGTTTCATTACTTTAGCAACGCTTAAAAGCGCATGCTCCCAATCACACGGCTGTAATTCGCCGCCGCATTTCAGCATCGGCGTAACCAATCTCTGACGTTTCAAACCATCATACGCAAAACGCGACTTATCACCCAGCCATTCCTCATTGATCTCCTCGTTGATTTTCGGCATAATGCGCATTACTTCGCCGGTACGTGTGGATACCACAATGTTTGAACCAACCGCGTCCATTACGTCAATGGAGTGCACTTTGCGTATCTCCCACGGACGCGCTGTGAAGCTGTAGGGCTTCGAGGTGAGCGCACCCACCGGGCAGAGATCAATCACGTTGCCGGACATTTCGCTGAGGAAGAATTTCTCGACGTACGTGCCTACCTGCATGTCGGAGCCACGACCCGTGGTGCCTAAATCATCGATGCCAGCAATCTCCGACGCAAAACGAATGCATCGCGTGCAATGAATGCACCGGGTCATGATTGTCTTGATCAAGGGCCCAATGTCCTTGTCTTCAACAGCGCGCTTGCCGGAGAAATCAATGTCGGTGAATCGTGACCTATCCGAGCCGAAAGCCATGGATTGATCTTGCAGATCGCACTCACCGCCCTGGTCGCAGATGGGACAATCAAGCGGATGGTTCACCAGGAGGAACTCCATGACGCCTTCGCGTGCGCGGCGTGTCAGCTCTGAGTCGGTTTTAATGCGCCAGCCCTTCATGACGGGCATAGCGCAAGCAGCAACTGGTTTCGGCGACTTCTCCACTTCGACCAGACACATCCGGCAGTTGCCAGCGACGGCGAGTCTCTCATGGTAGCAGAAGCGTGGAATTTCAACACCGGCGAGCGCTGCGGCCTGCAGGACAGTGGTGCCTGGCTCCACTAACACTGGCTGGTCATCAATGAATACCTCGAATTTCTCGGGCGCCTTGGCGACAGTACCGCTCGCTCGCGCCCCAGCGCATAGATGTTTAGGGCTGAGCTTCGCCCCGCTGAGGAGTTTCGTAACGCTCGAGCGCAGCATGTCTGAAAGGTCGTGCTGATTGCAGCATTCAATTACATAAGTATTTTTGTTCTTCTAACCTCACCTTCGGCTGCAACACGGATGCCTTATGTTCGGGAGGGCAAGCACGTGATGATGGTTCGTAGTAACCGCGGGCGATTTGTTTACACTTCGATTATGCAGTTATGAATTATCAGTGCTGCTCTATTTCTCTGTTTTCTTATTTTTGTAGCTCATTTTTTGACGGACGTTTTGCTACGACTGGTGCGAGCGCGACCGATGTAGGCAACCAGTCGCACTTGTGTGGCACGCGCACTGCTGACGCACGCAACATTTTCAAAACGTTGCGCTTTGCCTTTGAATAGAAACAAAACTATTTTGAAAACAATCTTTCGTTCGCCAAACACAATTCTAATGCAGTGTGTGCATAAACTTATCCGCAACATTAAAAAATTTAATGTAATTAAACAAAAGTAGACAACCCAAGAGGCATGTGATAAAACATAAATTGTTTTAACTGACATTTTTTTTCGTTTTCGTTTTTCACACCTTCTTCAAAATTGGCTAGTAAAATTCGATTTTGGAATTCAACGCGAAAAAATTACCCCCCACATGTGTATGCAATTAATCGCGGCACGTTTCTGGCCAAAGTAGACAACGAGACAAATAGGATAAGTGGAATTTTTGCCAAGTTTTTGTGCTGCACGTTGCGAATGTTCGGTGATCTTGCCGCGGACCGGGAGGAACGCGCCGGCGCCCGCCAGATAACAGCTGGGAGAGGCGAGAGAAGTGCGCGGCGAGTAGGTCGACTGGGTCACGCACAAAAACGAGCGCGACTACGACTAGCGCTACACAACTACGCGGGCAGCAGCCAGCGCGATACCAAACACTCAAGACTCACTGAAATCACGTCTCGCGGTATACGACCGCCGATCGCCGCATCCAAATCCTTCGTATTTAGTATTTATTTACCTATCGCTGGTGCTAATTAACCATGGCGTACTGTATGCGAGTTTTGCATCGCCAGGTAAGTAGGAATCAATCTTCTTGCGCGTCGTTCGCACTCAAAAGTGCGTCATGTGACCGCCGGTCGGAATGATCTTGTGTCCGTTTCAAACTCATTGGAATGACCGTTCTGACTGCCGGATCACCTAGACGCAACCTTTGGGCGGTCCATTAGCGAATTTTCTTTTGCATATGGGCGGCGGAAAAGAAATGAAATTAATTCGTCCCGATTACATAATATGCAGTTGACTAACCTAGAATTTCTACTTTGCGCGTGCAGGGTAGCCAGCTGAACGCCATCGTCTTAAGCGATGTCCAGGCGCGTTGCTTTCACGTGTCGCCGCTTGCCGCCGCCGCTGGTAAGGTGGCGATGAGCAAATTCGACAACTCCAGCTACATGCCCTATGACCGCTTGTCGCAGAACCTTTCTGTGGTGAAAAAACGCCTTAACAGGCCGCTCACACTCTCCGAAAAGGTGCTATACTCCCACATCGATGACCCCAAAGGCCAGGTATGCGAAACATTTTAGATTATGGCCCATTCATGCTTGAAGTCAGTCAGTGCCTAATCATTTGTTTATGTTTTGAACTTTAATTAACTTGTGGCCTTCATGCCGAGCATGAGACAAGTGTTTTGAAAACATCTGATGCACCAACAAGTGCAAAGTTCACGCGCTAGCATTCAAAACTTCCGGATTTTTATAGGACATTGAACGAGGCACGTCCTATCTGCGATTGCGGCCGGACCGTGTTGCCATGCAAGATGCAACGGCCCAAATGGCAATGCTGCAGTTTATCTCCAGCGGACTGAAACGCGTCGCGGTGCCCAGCACCATTCACTGCGATCACTTGATTGAGGCCCAAGTTGGCGGTTCCAAGGATTTGAAACGCGCGAAGGACCTCAACCAGGAAGTGTACAACTTCTTGGCGACGGCAGGCGCTAAATATGGCGTTGGTTTCTGGAAGCCAGGCTCCGGAATCATCCATCAGATCATTTTGGAGAATTATGCCTTCCCTGGTCTGCTTATGATCGGTACCGACTCGCACACGCCGAATGGCGGCGGTCTTGGCGGTTTGTGCATTGGTGTGGGCGGCGCTGATGCCGTCGACGTGATGGCCGACATTCCATGGGAATTGAAGTGCCCGAATGTGATCGGAGTCAAGCTCACCGGCAAGTTGTCCGGATGGACATCCCCGAAGGATATCATCCTTAAGGTTGCTGGTATTCTCACCGTCAAGGGTGGTACCGGCGCCATTGTTGAATACCACGGACCTGGCGTCGATTCAATCTCCTGCACCGGTATGGCGACCATCTGCAACATGGGTGCTGAAATCGGCGCTACCACATCGCTCTTCCCCTACAACAGGCGCATGCGTGATTACTTAGTTGGTATGTAAGGTGATTACGCATTAGCTATAAATATTTGTTGCTTGTATATTTGGCAAGCGATTTCGAATCATGCCGCGCGCTATTTTTACGCCGTTTTCTATTTCGATCTGTTTTGAAAATTGCTTGCGATTATCTGCGCCAGCATTTCGTAAACATAACTGCGCTGAACCGTGGCTCTAAAGGTCTATCGATAGGTTGAAAGGTCAGCTCGATTCTTCTCACTCGTGTCCAAAATGATTATCGAAATAACGTTGTGTTATGACTGCGGATCAAAACAAAAATATGTAACACGTTTTCAATTTGTTTTGATGTTTTTCACAGCGACTACACGCAAACCCATTGCTGAGGAAGCCGACAAGTATCAGAAAGAGTTGTTAACCGCCGACGATGGTTGCAAATACGACCAATTGATCGAAATCGACCTCAGTACCTTGGAGCCGCATGTCAATGGACCTTTCACCCCCGATTTGGCGCATCCCATTGGCGAATTGGGCAAAAACGCGAAGAAAGCCAACTGGCCCATGGATATCAGGGTTGGCTTAATTGGTTCTTGTACCAATAGTTCCTATGAAGATATGGGTAGATGTGCTAGTATTGCAAAGGAAGCCATGGCCCATGGTTTGAAATCAAAGATTCCCTTCAATGTTACTCCCGGATCCGAGCAGATTCGCGCCACCATCGAACGTGATGGCATTTCGAAGATCTTCGATGATTTTGGAGGCACTGTGTTGGCTAATGCGTGCGGGCCATGCATTGGTCAATGGGATCGTCAGGATGTTAAGAAGGGCGAGAAGAACACCATTGTCACGTCGTACAATCGTAACTTTACCGGACGTAATGACGCTAATCCTGCTACTCACTGCTTTGTAACTTCTCCGGAAATGACCACCGCGTTGAGTATTGCTGGTACATTGGACTTTGATCCAACTAGGGACGAACTTACCGGTGCCGATGGTAAGAAGTTCAAGCTCACGCCTCCACATGGTGATGAGTTGCCCACCAAGGGTTTCGATCCTGGTCAGGATACCTACACCCATCCACCTGCTGACGGCAGCAGTACTAAAGTCGACGTTGATGTAAAGTCGCAGCGTTTGCAACTGCTTGCTCCGTTTGACAAGTGGAACGGTAAGGATCTCGTGGACATGACAATCCTTATCAAAGTGAAGGGCAAGTGCACCACTGATCACATCTCCGCCGCTGGACCATGGTTGAAATATCGTGGCCATTTGGATAACATCTCGAACAATATGTTCATTGGGTAAGTGACATAAATTGAAATAAATACCAACTTGTTATCATTTTTATTGTTTTGTGCAGAGCCACTAATTCCGAGAACAATGAGATGAACAAGATCAAGAACCAGTTGACCAATGACTGGGGCGCAGTGCCCGACGTCGCCCGCCATTACAAGGCAAATGGCGTCAATTGGGTCGCCGTTGGCGATGAGAACTACGGCGAGGGCAGCTCTCGCGAACATGCCGCGCTCGAGCCGCGTCATCTTGGTGGACGCGCGATTATCGTCAAGTCGTTTGCGCGCATCCACGAGACCAACCTGAAGAAGCAAGGGCTCTTGCCGCTGACATTCGCCAACGCTGCCGATTATGATAAGATTCAACCAACTGACAAGATCAGTTTGATTGGTCTGAGCGGTCTCGCGCCCGGCAAGCCTGTCGATTGTGAGATTAAACACGCCGATGGTAAAGTCGACAAGATCAAGCTGAACCACACGATGAACGACCTGCAGATCACTTGGTTCCGTGCCGGCAGCGCCCTCAATCGCATGAAGGAGTTGGCGAAGTAAGCGGTGACCCACAAACGTTCATCAGTAATCAAAATCGCTTGTAAATTACGAATTACTTAAAAACCGATTTACCTAGATAGGATTTCTACTGAATGTTTTATTTTTAAGTAATTGAGCAAAATAGTATTTGTAGTCACACACACACGAATCATGTTGAATCGTCACCGATGATTGAGAACATGACTTTCCGGCATGCATTTTTATACACTACTTTAAAACGAGCGCAGGAAAGTACACATTTTAATGAAATTATACATTGTACATAATATTAAAATAAAGTAATTGCTCCTATATTACCAACAACATCTTGTGCTGGTTATTTTGGTTATGTTCAGTGGAGATTTGATTATCCGGATGAATTGTTATCAATTGACATGAGGATAATCAAGTTTATTACATATTATATGAGTTTTTGTTAAAATCAACAGAAAGAAACAACAATTTATTACAGATCGCAGAAAACGCATGCTTAAAAGCAAAAAAACGTTCAATCAAATAGTTATAATTGAATCTATATATATATAAAAATGAATTGCTGTTCGTTAGTCTCGCTAACACTATACTTCAATAGACTATACTTTCAGCCATTTTAAACTTCCCGCCATTCTACTTCATTGTTACTTCTTCTGTGACTACAGACGCGTACGGAAGCAACTTCATTATTTTAGATATTCGCGACCGAAGCTGCGGGTTAAAGCTAGTATCTATCTATATATATAAAAATGAATTGTTGTTCGTTAGTCTCGCTAAAACTCTAGAACGGCTGAACGGATTTATCTTATCTTGGTCTTGAATTATTCGTGGAGGTCTAGGGAAGGTTTAAAAGGTGAGAAAAATTCGAATAATTGCCGGGAAAATCCTCAAAACAGCTCTTTTCTATTGAATAAAATTTGACATTTGACATTAAAGCTAGTATCTTATAAATCACTATTTATGCAACGCGTACACAATTTAATCAAATAAAATATGTTTTAATTGCGACGACGGTATATAAGTAACGAGCACGAAAACAATTGCAATCGCGCCAACACGCGTGTTGTGTGTTTATCGCCGGCGGAAAAATCGTCGACGTTCACATAAAAAAAATATCAAGCAATATTTAACAATTATTAACCACGGTATTAACTACTTTTTTGTTAATTGTGCTCAAATTGCGCACAAATCTAAATTTGGAAATGTTTTTTTCTTGGCTCCGAAAAAAAATTAAAAATTCACGATATTAGTTTTAAGGTCGTCGCATGTATTATTTATTAGCATCGGTATCTGATATTTTAATTTTTTTCGAGTAGCAAACAATGCGCACGCTCACATATCATATATCCTAGTTAAATTTTTTTCGACGTTCAATATTTGCCAAGATGACTGAATCGACGAGTTTCTAATCTTAATTTCGCAATAGCGAGTGTTTCGCAAATTCGTAAAAATCAACAATATGTAAATCTTGATGTTTGGTGCATCAAACATTTGCTTAAATTAATTACAGTTAGCGCGGATGGAAATTTCCATCCATTTGTGTTTGCAACAATATTATTTATTGATGAACAAATACGCGCTGGTTTCTTTTGTATTCTTTGCTTTGCATGTGCTCCGAAACCGGATTTGATCTATTTTTAAAGTCTCTAATTTTCAAATGTATCATCCGCTAAGCTGTAATGAACTGACACGTTGTTATTTAGTGTTAATTTATACTAGGGAGGGACCCGGGAGTGCGCAAACGTGTTTTCGGAAGATTGTAGCTCTTGGATGACCTCAAGGTCGTCAAATAATACAAAATCAAACAGGTCATGAAATTACCCGAAAAAATATCAAAAAAACCTCGAAAAACAAGTTTTTCTATGAAATAATTCCATAATTATGTCATAATGATATAGATATCATATAAATTTATTGGATTGAAATCAATAAACAAGTTTTTATCAGTTTGGTAAGCTTATGCAACCAGTTTTGATGTGTTCTGCGAATGAATCAAGTGTTTTTGTCGCCAGCGCCATCCGCAGAGTTTGTTTTGATTCCTGCGATGTTAAAAATCGATTAATATCGTTTTACGTCGCCGCAAACAATAATAACAATAATAAGTCTCGTTTATAAAAGGATTAGCTGTTTGTTTTGCATGCGCCGAGCGCGCCGCCATGCGATTAATCCCTTTGTAAAGCAATATCAACACTCAAACACATAAAAATCTAATTAAACGTTATTCACATATCCAACCGGAATTTCTTTTTTTTATGATTTCTACATTACATTAACACTTTTTCATCGGATTTGTTTTCATTTGCAAACATACTAATTACTTCGTACTCCACTGACTTACTTAGCACACCAAAATTCGCGTTTTTAATTCTTGTAAAAGTTCGAAATTCGTTTCGCTTTTTGCGCACACTGCATATTATTTAATTTTATTTATTGATGCTAATTTTGCGCTGCGGTACATAAATTACGCGCGGCGCGCAAACAATTTTTTCTTATTTGATCACGTCTTCAGCGGCTGATTACGTTGCGGGCCGATTTTTTCCTACGAATTTCGGCGGTGTACCTTTCTCTTTTGCTGTGTGTGTCGTGGTTCGTGACAAGTAACATGAAACGCGTCAATTTTTGCGAATTCCGCGTAACGCAAGTGTTGCACATTTGTTTGCATAAGTGTAGAGTAAATGATGTGTAATGTGTGTTGCCTACCACTAAAATTGCATAATTTAATACGCAAACTTGATAGCTGATAACGATTTGTTTGCGTGGGAAAACGCAGTAATAATCTCCGGAATGCAAAACTTACAAACTTGACAATGAAGTTTTTCATCCAAAACATTATTTCCTGATTATTGCGTAATTAATATTTCTGTTGATAGCAATAATTCCGTATTGTGACTTCCGCATGTTTAAACAATAAAAACGTGTTAATTAAACAATCGTCGAGCGACTGTTAAGTGCTAAATTAGATTATGCCTAATCGGGTGCTAAAAACCAACTAAATATTGACATTTGACAGGCGTAGAACACGTGTAAATCTCCACAACATCTTTAAAAATAGAAAAAATTATTTTAAGCTTTATTTGCGTTGTTTAAAATAGCAAAAATGCGAAGAGATGTAATTTGACGATCAAGGACGATGTCTGTTGACATAATCTAACGTCTAAAACATAATTTGCATAATTAGGACAGGACAAGACAATGCACAATGCTTTTCAGAACTAAAAATTAATTTCCACGTGTTTTCAGCGCACGAAATTATACCCGTTGGTCAAGATAATTTGTGTGATTGTCTGGAAATAGTCGAGAGGTTAATAATTCAATTCAATTCAAACACAGCAGGAAAAATCAACAGTACAAAACATTAATATTAAATTTTTTAATTTTTTGTATTTTTGGAAAAAATGCAAATTCTACCGCACGAATAATCATAATTTATGGCACCTTGCGCGCATAAAATTAACCGCCTGCCGCCCTCACACCGCATGGAAAATCGCGCCTCCCGCACGTACTTACCAATGTATCAACAGGTAAATAACGACATGCGCGCATTGTTTAACGCCGAATTATTAATGTGCAATTTGTCGATGGCGAGGTGGCAGTCGCTTCGTATCGCGCGCGCACGAATTTTCCTGCTTTACGCGACCGCCTAAATCCTCGCAAACAAGTGAAAATAAAACTGCGTTTAACTAATTATTAATTACCGGCGGTGGGAAATCTCATCAGTGAAGAATAATAGCCACGATTCGAACAGGTTGGCGTTGCATTCGTGCGCGTTTCGGTGTCGTGTGCGCTCCGACAAACTTTTCCACACACATACACACACACGTGGCGCAATAATTTATCGCAAAACTGTTCGGGCATCGTAATAGCACTAGTCCACATTCACAATTGGAGAAAAAAGCACGAAGTCGTTCACTAGTTTTGCGTGCCTCGTACAATAAGCACAAAACAACACAAAGTGCAACAGTTAATAACTTAATAAGAAATATTCGATTTTTGTGAGGAAAATCATTGGATTAAAATATGAGTGATGATAATATAGCACCAGATGGCGCTGCGGGTGGAGGCGGAGCTCCTCCGGCGCGTCAAAGACGTCAATCGTGGGTGCAGCGGTTCGCTGAAGTGCAAGAACGGCCACGACGCATGTCCATACGCAGCTTTTACTGGGTAAAATAATAAAATAGAAAATCATCACTTTGTCGAGTGATATGTTATGTTATGTTATTTTATGTCCTATGAATACTTCGTAGTCAAATTGTGATATACCTAGTAGATATTTAAGCACATTCCGCGCGTGCCACGTCGCAAAATTTTTGCCCATCATTAAATTTTAATGTGTTTTGACATTGTGTTTCAGTCGAGTTTGTTTTCGGTAACAAAACGAGTCGTAGGTAATCATTAAAAAGCGAACAAAATGGTTGATATCCTTCGGTAGATTGGTAGTGAGTTTCGAAAAAAAATGGAAAATTGAATGAAATTCCTTGTTACACCGGTGATTATCGGGCGATTATATTACATGCGAGTTAGCGGGTTTCGTAATCGACCGTTTTTACCAGCAGAGCGCGAGTTACGCAGCATCCATGTTTGCATCTCTGTGTGGAGATGTGTGTAATGTGTGTTTGTTTAATGAGCGGTAGGTATGTGCACGGCCGGAGCGAAAATAAAATCAAATTGACATTGAATTTAATAAAAGTACCAGTCGACGATTAGTTTATGCTCATTTTATTGAATGATCATATTAAAACTGCGACCTTTAACGCACTCAAAGTAATATTTATGTTTATTTAAGGGGTTATGTTCGTTTTTTGAATTTTTTTGCAAAAATGATAAAATTTTGCGATTTTTTTTTATTTTTAGTAAATTTATTGCAAAAAATTCAAAAATTTGATAAAATAAATTTTAAAACTTTTAAAAAATGTCAAAAAATGCTAATATGAAGAATTTGTGTATTTTGCCTCCGCCATCTTGATAATAATAACATTATTTACAAATAGAAGTATTTTACACAATATTTTGGGCGTTTTGGCTTGATAAATAGTAGGATGTGACAAAAATCGTAATTTTGATGTTTATTTAAGGAGTAACATTCATTTTTATAATATTTTTGAAAAACAACTAAATATTGCAAAATCCGATAAAATTTTAACAAAAAACATTTATTTTTATCAAATTTATTGCAAAAACAAACTTGATAAACCAAATTTTAAATTTCATAATCAAATATCACCAAAATCTTCGAAAAATACAAATTTTAAGCATTTGCGAGTTTTCCCCGTCCGCCATCTTGAAAATTACACTTTAGGAAGACATTTTACGACCATATTCACCTCCCAAAATAATCTACCCATTTTAATTCACTAGGAAGTGACAAAAATCGAAAATTACGTAACTTGTATTGAATGTGATGCTTGTAATAAGTACCTTCGCACGAATTGCGAAAAAAAAAAACACGCCATAAATTTATGCCATCGGAGGTTGTTGCCATCGGTCCGCCCGGTCGACCTTGGCCCCGTCGTGCCGCTTCAACCAGGATAAACGAATCCGAATCAAGATTTCATTTCGGATTTTTGCCGATCAAATTTCACATCAATCTAACGGTACCCAATCAACACACAACGCGCCAATATTACCAAGTAGTACCAAAACTAGTTTAGCATTGTTTCTGTTCAAATTCTGGGTCATCAATTAATTGTAACCATATTTATCATTTCCAGATCGACGAGGAGGGTTATCGTAATCCCGAGATGACCGTGTCCCTCGAAAACTCCGGCGGTGACCGCAATGGCACCGCCAATGGCACCGATGATGTCTACACCGTATCAGTAACCGGTGGTTTTGATAACGAAGGTTTCTCCAAGTCCGGCGAGAACCTTTCGGACCCAGTGAAGAAACCACGTGAGATCAGCGATGAGGAGGCTTCGCAACAGGGCAAATTCAAACTCTCCCGGAAAGAAAAATGGCGCATTTTGAAAAACATCGGCGCTGTGTCCTTCGCCTTCATGATCCAATTCACTGCCTTCCAAGGGACAGCGAATCTCCAGTCCAGTATTAACGCCAAAGATGGTTTGGGTACCGTATCCCTCAGTGCTATCTACGCCGCATTGGTTGTGAGCTGTATCTTTGTCCCAACATTCGTCATCAAACGCCTGACGGTCAAATGGACTCTATGTTTCTCTATGTTGTGCTATGCCCCTTACATTGGATCTCAATTTTACCCTAAATTCTACACTTTGGTACCAGCTGGTGTGTTGTTGGGTATTGGGGCTGCACCCATGTGGGCATCCAAAGCCACTTATCTCACACAGGTTGCTGGGGTTTATGCCAAACTAACAGATCAGTTAGTTGATGGTATCATTGTCAGATTCTTTGGGTTCTTCTTCCTTGCTTGGCAAACAGCTGAACTTTGGGGAAATTTGATCTCTTCACTTGGTAAGTTAAAAGGAATTAAGTAAAAAGTAAAAATTTTAATTTTTTTTTGTTTATGATTAGTTTTAAGCAATCCACATGGCGGTGGTGGGGGTAACGGTTCCTCCCCAAGTGACACCACCTCCTTTGACACCTGCGGTGCGAATTTCTGTGTTATGAACACCAACAGCAATGATAACCTCTCCCGGCCTGATGATAAGGAAATCTTCGAGATCTCTACGATTTATCTCGCGTGTATTTTTGCTGCGGTTGTCATCGTTGCGGTGTTTGTCGATCCACTCTCAAGGTAGGCATGTTACAAATTGTGAAAACTGTACAAATTGACCATTTCCGGTTATGAGATGATTTACGTGTTACATAACCTATAATTACGCATCGCATGCAAATTTCCGAAGAATAATTACAAATTATAACCTAATTATTTAGATATGGTGAAAAACAACGCCGTAATAGCACAGCTGAAATATCCGGTATCCAATTGTTGTCCGCCACGGCGTACCAATTGAAGAAACCCTATCAACAACTGCTGATCCCGATCACGATATGGATCGGTATGGAGCAGGCGTTTATTGGTGCTGATTTCACTCAGGCATACGTATCCTGCGCCCTGGGTATACCCTCAGTGGGCTATGTGATGATCTGTTTCGGAGTGGTGAATGCCATCTGTTCACTACTCTTTGGATCTGTGATGAAGTATATAGGTCGTCAACCTATTATGGCCCTTGGGGCTGTGGTGCATTGTGCTTTGGTCGGGTGGTTCCTGGTGTGGAAGCCACACCCTTCGAATCCATCGGTGTTTTTCATCGCTTCCGGTCTCTGGGGAGTCGCTGACGCTGTGTGGCAGACGCAAGTTAACGGTAAGCGAATTCAAATGCAAGATTTATGCAAATTATTGTTGGTAATGAGCACGTGTACGTGTAAATTTAACCGTGAACAACAATCGCGTCACGTCCGACATCCGAGTGGAGATGAGATGAAAATTGCACAATCAAATGATTAAGTGATTTGGTTGAGTGATTTTGATGCTAGATGAATGAAAATCTATAAAAATTTGAAATGTGTTTGGTTTGTGATTTTATAAAATAGTTGAATTAAATTGATTTCTCGTTGGTATGTTGGTTGTTTGCGCGTGTTCGTGCTCAAGATCCAGATTGGGCTGGATTTGAGATTTGCCTGCGGCGTTTTTACCGAGTCTACCGCAGGTTTTAATGTGGATTAACACACAAAAATATATATTAATATAATACCAGCGCGAGCCTCGTGGTATTATCGATGATGCAAATCCGTGTACGTATTTTGCTGTGTTGAATTTCAAATTCATAAACAATTTTTTTCGTTGTTTCGCGTGGCAATTCCCGCCTGTCAATCGCGTGCTAAAAATTATTATTCAAATTAATTCCACAATCGGAGGAATTGGAAAAGAACAAATATAAAAAACGTTCTACGCATTTGTTACTAGAGTATGAGTATGTACCTACTTAAATTCTCATCGAAGCACGCAGATTAAAAACACGTGTTTCTAAAGCAAAATTAATTTTATTTAAATTTTTGCTGTTTTTATTTGATTGATTGCTGATGAGTTTAATTATATTGTTATTAAATTAGTTTGCATTTTAAGCATTATTTCTAATAAATATTTAAACGAATCAAGAGTGCGTTTAACGCAAGAGAATCGGTTTAAACTGGTTACATGTGGTTTTGAAACGATGCAAAGCAAAGAAGTTTTTAGTTTACTTTATAAAATGTATCGGAAAATTTTTAGTTTTAAATTCTATGTAAACTGGTTTACGTATTTTGAGGTTTTTATCAGTAAAAACACAAAAATTAGCATAAATTTAAAGAAAAACAAAAAATAACCAAATATTTAGATTTTACATGGATAGGCAACTGTTTAATCATTTGTTACACTGGTCATAACCTCAATTATTTTAGTAAAAATGCCGGTAAATATTTCCTGAAGTCTAAATATGAATTCCGCGTCGCTCAGTTGTATTCACTTGTGTTATGTTTAAATGATTTTCTAGTAACGCAACGTGCACCCCAACAAATTAGCTGAAAAATCGTGCTTAAGTTATAGAAATTAGCATTGCAATTTGTAGGGATGTTGGGTTGCATAACCACAACAATATATCAAATGTTACCATCGATGTCATGTCTTTAAAAAATATTCTAGCTCATAATTTGCTATAAATTAAAATATTTTTCATTGTTACACAATAATTCACATCTAAATTTAATTTTTGTTTAGGTCTTTATGGAACTCTCTTCCGTCGTAACAAGGAAGCCGCCTTCTCCAACTACCGCCTCTGGGAAAGCACTGGTTTCGTCATAGCGTACGCATACTCCACACATCTATGCGCCCGCATGAAGCTCTACGTGATGCTGGTGGTGCTCCTCGTCGGCGTCTCGTGTTCGTGCTCCAAGATCCAGATTGGGCTGATTTGAGATTTGCCTGCGGCGTTTTTACCGAGTCTACCGCAGGTTTTAATGTGGATTAACACACAAAAATATAATATAATACTAGCGCGAGCCTCGTGGTATTATCGATGATGCAAATCCGTGTACGTATTTGCTGTGTTGAATTTCAAATTCATAAACAATTTTTTTCGTTGTTTCGCGTGGCAATTCCCGCCTGTCAATCGCGTGCTAAAAATTATTATTCAAATTAATTCCACAATCGGAGGAATTGGAAAAGAACAAATATAAAAAACGTTCTACGCATTACTAGAGTACGAGTACTTAAATTCTCATCGAAGCACGCAGATTAAAAACACGTGTTTCTAAAGCAAAATTAATTTTATTTAAATTTTTGCTGTTTTTATTTGATTGATTGCTGATGAGTTTAATTATATTGTTATTAAATTAGTTTGCATTTTAAGCATTATTTCTAATAAATATTTAAACGAATCAAGAGTGCGTTTAACGCAAGAGAATCGGTTTAAACTGGTTACATGTGGTTTTGAAACGATGCAAAGCAAAGAAGTTTTTAGTTTACTTCATAAAATGTATCGGAAAATTTTTAGTTTTAAATTCTATGTTAACTAGTTTACGTATTTTGAAGTTTTTATCAGTAAAAACACAAAATTAGCATAAATTTAAAATAAAAACAAAAAATAACAAAATATTGCGATTTTACGCGGATAGGCAACTGTTTAATCTTTTGTTGCACAAGTTATAAACTCAATTATTTTTGTAAAAATGCCGGTAAATATTTCCTGAAGTCTAAATATGAATTCCGCGTCGCTCAGATGTATTCACTTGTGTTATGTTTAAATGATTTTCTAGTAACGCAACGTGCATCCCAACAAATTAGCTGAAAATCGTGCTTAAGTTATAGAAATTTGCATTGCAATTTGTAGGGATGTTGGGTTGCATAACCACAACAATATTTCAAATGTAACCATCTTTAAAAAAATATTCTAGCTCACAATTTGCTTGAAATTAAAATATTTTTCGTCGTTTCACAAAAACTCACATCTAAATTTATTTTTGTTTAGGTCTTTATGGAACTCTCTTCCGTCGTAACAAGGAAGCCGCCTTCTCCAACTACCGCCTCTGGGAGAGCACTGGTTTCGTCATAGCGTACGCATACTCCACACATCTATGCGCCCGCATGAAGCTCTACGTGATGCTGGTGGTGCTCCTCGTCGGCGTCTTCATGTACGTCATCGTCGAGATTCTCCACATGCGTAAACTGCGAAGGCAGAAGGAGAAGGAGCGCAAGGCCGCCGCGCTCGAGGCGAAGACGATGCCGCCACCGCCCGTCGAGCCGGAGGAGACCGACGATGAAATCGACGAGATTGACGACAAGATTATCGTCACGCACTTCTAATCATCCAGCACAGAAAAAAAAACCAACACACACAAAATAAAAAGGTAAATAATAAATATTCATCAAAATCATCAAATTGATTGATGATGTAAACGATGTTTTTGGCGGAGTTTTGCACACGAAAATATTTTCGCGATATCCTGACAGTTTAATTAATATTTTCGTATCGGTCGACTTCCTTGTTTATCTCAGTGTATAATTATTGCAACGGCGTCGAAAGAGTTTCGGGCGCGCGCGGCGATAGCGGTTAGCCTTGAATCTCCGACGCCGCAGAGAGGTAAATCATCAGAAATTGCTAGGTGTCAGCGGTATGTGCAATAAAATCTAATTCATTAAACCGCATTAGCATTGGAATTAACGGGTAATAAAAGCAAAGAAATGACTATTAATGATGCACACAAATCTGCCACACAAAACTATTCAATGATACTGATGAATATCGCTATTGTTTCTCGATTAATTCATGATTTCGCTTGCGTAACATTTTGTTTACATCCGAGAAGGTCAATTTATTTATTGAAATTCTTCCTGCAGCCACTTAATTGCCAAATATTAATTAACTCAACGTAAACAAAACATACCGAAACCAAAAACGTGTTTTTTTTAGCTTCACGTTGAGAATAAATTAATTTTAATCTTCAAAATAATAAAATGATGCAATAAATTAGTTTGAAACTGCAGTAAAGTTGGCATTGTATAGCACAAATTAAAAGACTACAACACACTCAGTTACCTATTTTATTTTTAATGCAAGTTGCTTATTTTAATTTAGCACACATGCGAAAACAATTGAATAACGGCAATATTCCGCACGGAAATACACATATGTTCGTAGTAATTTTTAAGATCGCATGTCGAATCGACGAGCAAAACTTAATTTAACATTTCGAATTTAGAAATGATTTTGACTGGAAGCAGAAACCACTTTCTCGTTTCAATATTTGATCCATCAAAATTAAATTTTATTTCCATGTTTGTTAACTATCACTAAACGCCAGCTAATTTTTTTTTTTTTGCTATAAATCAAGTCGAAAGCATCTGCAAAACTTACGAAAGATTACCGCTGGAGGGTATTAGCGCAGTAATATTCTCCTGTTATTGTATCTACAAATTAAATTTTATTTTATTTATTATTTTATTTCAATTGAATTTATGTAAACTCAACAATCCGATTTACAACCTCCTGATGGCGAGATAATTCCCACATTGCCGCCATGGATTCAATAAAAATTCCCAAGGTGCTGCGGTGAACAATTTGCTGGCCAAAAGCAATCCAAAGCCGCAGGTTGAGCAATAATAATCATTTCTCATATGCTCGTAGTCAATACATCGCACGGCATGGCAATCAACTCGCGATTGTAACGATCATTTAATTCCGTAAATTTTAGCACTTAGACCCACATCATCATCAAACGGGCGCTATTTTTTCTCCTCGCTTCTTCTTATATGTCTAGCAGGACGGTAAGGATGCCGTGCGCAAACGTTGAGCGTTAATCGTTAATTTAACTATCAATCTTCGAATGACATTGACTTCTTGTCTGCGCCGCGATAATTTTTCCCACATTCAGTCATTATTATGCAGTGTCGTGTCATGTGTGATAAGAGAGTGCAGTTTTATGCAATCGTTATACTCGCACTCGTAAAATCTGGTTATTTCTTGTTAGTTATTATGTACGCGCTGGCGCGTTGATAAATGGCCATAGATTTCAGATCACCTGTATTTATTCAAAATATGCAAAATCTGAAAGTGCTTATTTTCATTCTAACGCCATCGCATCAAACAGCATATTCCTAGGATACTATATACTCATCCCTACTATAATATTATATAAAATGCAAAAGTCCTAATGTTTATTACACTTTCACGCAAAAAAACTACTTCTACACCGATTCTCCACAAGCGAAAATTTGTATTTGACATATTCTTAGTGGTCTCGAATGGTTATATAGGCTACTTTTATTTAATAAAAAAATTATATTTTAAATAAATAAAAGAAATAGTTTAGCTAATAATACCTCTGTATCTGGCTAATTGACTACTTTTAACGCCATTCAGTATCTGTTATACGAAGTTTCAAACCTAAGTACTATAGTACTATCACACTGTGTATTATCACACTGTATTACCGATAGCTACGTCAACATCAAACTTGGGCAATTGACTACAATTACGGGAGACTGTACAATTATGCAAATTTCCATAGACTATACAGCCATTTTAAAACTTCCTAAGCTATTCTACTTCATTGTGCTACTTCTTCTGTGACTGCTGGTGACGTGTACGGAAGCAACTTCATTATTTTAGATATTCGCGAGCGAAGGCGGGTTAAAGCCAGTGTTATATATTTTCCAATTTGGTGCAAATAAGTAAGTGCAGATTTCGCGCTACTGCCACGCTAAATAGTAAGTTATAAAGTTGATCCTGGGAAAAGCGCTGTTTTTGCCTTAATGTGTATATTCCTACATGTAATACCGTCGTAATCTTCACAGGGGTATTTTTAATACATTTTTTTGCATGCGCCGCGTTACGATATTCGGCTGTACAAATTTGCAAACTATTTTTGCCAAATTTTGTGGTTACATATGGCTTTTGCAGTCATGCAGTTTGCGTTATTCCTAGGCCCAAAATATCTTCAAAACCAAAAATTTATCAAATTTGCTGAGTGTTTTGCGTTAAAAACACACAACATGCTATAATTTTGGATTTTTTGGCATTAAAATGTATTAAATTCAATTATTTCTTTGTTGCAGAAGCTTCAATTTACAAATTTCCGTAAAAAAACTGAAATCTAATAATTTTTCTTTCAAGTGATTAGTATGTATTTAAATAAATAAACGAAATCTCTTTACACACTAGTGACTTAAAATACTTTGTAAAACCAGTGTTTTGCGATGTTTCTGTATAAATGGGTGCTCTCGTACAAAATACAATACTGTCATTACCGGCACAATACGAATAGCTTTGAGATGCACTAAAACCGTTTGCTAGTGAAATGCGATTAATTTTATTGTTTGTTTTTTTTTGCCACGTGTATGATAGGTATTTAAAGTGTTTGAGATCAAAATAGCGCGTTAGCTTTTTACTAATTTCTGTACTTCACTTTTGCTACCCTACGCGAAATAATTTAGGTACTACTTGGCTGCGTATTTCTGTATAATGGGACGCATGATATTGTAATGTTGTTGTTGCACAATTTTGTGTGTAAGTGTACGTTGTTATTTTGTTAATATGAATGGATATATAATTTTAATAACTTTTGCTTAATTTGAAGAGTTTTTAAGCAGTTTTTGATTAAATAGTGTCTAATTAAATTAAAAACAATTTATTCTGACAAAATATCACTAAATACTAACCAAAAACACAAAAAATCACATCTTTTTCTTCGAATTTAAACCGATGCATACAAAAGTGCTTTTAAAATTATCTCTGTCGTTATCACTCCGCAAAGGAAGTAGTCTCCCCAATCGTGTAAATATATTTGCAGACAATAAAAACTCTATATCACTTTAGCAAACGATGATTCATAACTTGATGTTTACTGCCAATTACCACAAAAAAGTCCGACAACCAGTCGGTCCCTACTCGGAATTGGAGGAGGTCGTAAATTGTACTTCACATCAAAATACGAGTTTGTAAAATGTGTGATCAGTCAACAGTTGAAACACAAGTTTCTCTCGTAAACATGCGAGTAAACCCGGCAGAAAATCAATCTCTGAGTGAAAAACTCGAGAAATGCCAGGAATGGCTGGAAAATTGTACAATTAGCGAAGCGCAATCGATTTGTAGTGAGTGTCCGACCGAAAGTGACTCGAACTTTGATTGTTCATCAACAGATTACAGTGAATGCTCATCACAGTCACAGATTGTTTCCAGGACAGACAGAATAACAACTATTGATAATAATAAATGTGTAAGTTGAAAAATTTGAAACAAAAAATTAAATTAAATAAATTTAAATGTTTTTATGCTTTGTAGATTAATAATAAACAGTTAGAATCCATAATTGGACAAAATCAGAATGTTTATGAGAATATTATCGTCAATAAGTCGAAAAGAGTTCATTTGGGTAATGTTACAGTGATTAACGGACCGATTTACATAAAAGAATCACAAAAAACAAAGAAAAACGATGATATTGTTAGTGATATAAAGCCTGAACATCTTAAATTAGCTGAAGGTACTGTTGATTAATTATTTGCTTTATTTAAATTGTTTAAATTATTTTTGTGGTTTTATTTATAGCTCATATTCGTTGGATTGATAGACGTGCGTGGTTAGCGCAACCGCAAGTTGAAGAATACGAAAAACTACAAAATCCAGCTAAATATGTTATTATTTGTACGTAAATCAACGAAAAAAATAGCCATTCCTTAACCTAAATAATTTTTAGGCCACTCTGCAACAGAGGACGCTGGTACGCATTGGGATAATATTATATTAGTGCGTCACATCCAACAATTCCATATAGAATGCCGTAAATGGTCTGATATAGCCTATAATTTTATGATTGGATGTGATGGTTATACTTATAAAGGAAGAGGATGGGGAATACGTGGTGCACATTCATTCAGGTAATTTTTAAAAGTCAAAAAATTAATTTTTACATAATTTTGTTAGGTAGGCAACCAAAACTACTTCAAAATATGCCTGTTGAAAAAAATTAATGTATTTCTCATTTTATCTTTTAGATATAATGCAATCTCAGTAGGTATTTGTTTTGTCGGCACGTTCTGTACAAAACTACCCCCGCAAATCGCGCTGGAACAGGCGAAAGCACTGATCAGATACGGCGTTGAGCAAGGCGAAATCGACAAGGATTACGCCTTAATTGGAAATTGTCAGGTCTCATCGTCGAAGAGTCCCGGCGAGTGCCTGTTCGAGGAAATCCAGACTTGGGATCATTACGACCCGAGTATTACTCTAGAAAATCCTTCATCTTTAATCGAGGCTGCGTAAAATGAAAAAAAAAACAAGAAAAAGACTAAAATTATTTTTATTTTATAGTGATGTTTAACTATTTTGAAACTATGTCTAGGGACACAACATCAATAAAAACTAATTTTGCAACAATTAGTCGCGCATAATTAAAAAACGTGCTCGAATTGGCGGCCACAATGTACGCGACACATTCTAATTTCGACGAGGAGGAACACAAAGCGCGCTGGTTTTATTTTCGCGCATTCATAAAGATTTAACGCGGCGGAATATCGGCCGACGGGAAGTACCGAAATAACGGATAATAAACGCTCACGCAAAGCAATAGATTAGTTAAAAATACTTAAAACTATACCAGGAGACTAATAAACGGCAATAACAATAAATATTTACTTAAATATCTTGATATTTACCGTTTTTTCTGATATTTTTCGATAAAATTCAATAAAAACTAAAATGTGCATTTTTAGTTTATAATACGACCACCAGATGTCGCGACGTACACCGTTTGCAACTAAAATATTTATCAACAAATCAAAAACACGTGTTTTTATCTCTCCTCGTGCATTTCAAGCGAATGTAAACAATAGTTTAGAATGTAAAAGCATATAAAAACAATAAACACGATGTGAATAGAAGTTAATCGTGATTTTTCTATTTTTGTGCAGATGTCGCTGGCAGTACTGAATTCACGCTGACTATCAGCAGTTCCTGCTGACATTTCCCCGCGAAGCCGCCGAAGATTCGAAAGGCTCGCGCCGCGCGTGGTCTCGTCTGCGGAGTCGATCGCCGACGCCGCTCAGGGCGAGTTGTTGCACGTCCCCGGCGCCGGCCGCGACGCGTTTTCCGCCCCCTCGAGACGCCGAAATCGCGTGCGCGCTCACACACCGCGCGCGCGGCGCCCGAAATACCTTCCCGCCCAACTTAAATAATAATAGTTTATTTATAGCCGCCGGCGCACGCGGCCGCCACCGCCGCCACACACACTGATCGTGTCTCTTTACAAAGCGTATCGCGACGCTCAACTTTTCGCAACTTTTTTTCAATTGCAAACCACAAAAAAGTTCAACAAGTGAAGAAGTTAACTTTTACATCAGAAAAACAAAAATAAACAAAATAAAAAGTTTGTGTTTGATCTTTGATTAATCAGTGTTTGGAGTAATCAAGTGTCATCAACAGTGATGATGATTAATTCTCACTTGGATTTAATTGCATTCGGGATTTCTCCGTGGAAATTTCAAGAGTTTTCACCTTAATATCAGGTAATTTTATTGTTTAAGTCAAAGAAATTTCCCTGCTGGCAGTGGTATTAATTGCGACTGGTTCCGTTTCATTAAAAAAATGAAAATAAAAAATCACTCGGCATTTGCAAAACACATGTGTGGATATTTTTAAAATAGATCCAACGGTCTACTACACTAGAAAACCAGAGATGCACTCATTTAACAGTAAATGCGTCTAAAAGAACAGCAAGAAACAAATTTGGCTTTTAATTTAATATTTAATATAGAAATATAATTACTTCATACGAAAACGCATTAAATATTAACTAATAAGCGTGCTACGGTTATGAAAACGATGAATGCGTGTATTGTACACGTGCAGGAGGAAATGCAAATGATTTTGGGTTGGGTTCCTTCGGTAATACCACGCAACATTGCGTTTAATGATGATTTTATCATCAAACAAGTTGAGGTGTGACTCAAAAAATATTTATTTATCAAAAAAATACATTTAAAAAGCATAATTTTGAAAGTTTTTCATAAAAAAATATAAAATTTTGATATTGACATTGAATTTTCTATGGAAGACGTGCACTTAGAAATTCCTCGCGGTGCGCACAAAGCACGAATGACAGTCGTAAAACGCACAAAACGAAAACCTAAAACGCCGCCCGACAACTTTTATATACTTAATAGGATCAGATATGAGCGCTGTGCAAGTTATTCGCCTTGAAAAGTCTTAATATGTTGATTAATTTCTGTGGAACCACAAAAAACAACTTAGCATTTCATCCATCTCGTAATACATCAAGCTTTTCAAGAAGCGCCATCTACATGTGAATTATATAACTATAATTAACCATTAAATGCTTATATAAACTTTTATTTGCTATTTTACACCCTAAAAATTATTTTTTCGTCATAAAACTTTACAAAATTATTTTCTAGACTTATCTGAAGATAACCTGAAAATTTCATCCAAATCCATCAAGCAGTTTTGATGTAAATCGGCAACAAACACACAAACATTGATTTAACCTAAATAAAATCAAATAATTTAATTTTTATTGAGCACAACTGATTATTATGCTTACATAAACAAAATAAAACTATTACTAATTACTTTTTGCTTTGTGTGCATCAACAAAACACTAAATAAACAAATAATTATTGCAATATGCATATTTTCTCACTCCGCATAAATGGCAATAGGTTTAGGTTAAGTAAGAAGTCAACTGTGTTAAGAATAACTAGCTGTATACACTTTATTTTCTTCATCTTCACTTGGTGGTTATCCTTGAGAGCGTTTTTAATTCCCGCACGATGCAATCGCACACGCACCGTATGAGTCTGGACTTTGCTCTCGGCGAAATGACCGCGCATTCTTCGATTATTACGATGATTACGTATGCAGCTGATGTCGACGCCAGAGATGCCTGCCAATATTTTATGCGGCGTTGAATGCACGTTGCGGTGTTTGAATTGACGCCAGCATGAATTCTTCATTGATCTGCATTGATTGCGAATTTCGATTTGTGCCATTCCGACCACACGTCTACTCTAATTGATTGAATTCCCAATCACGATCGTGATGTGTTTTGTGTGTGGTTTTGAATAGGTTCATGTGATACTGGTTGCATACACTACACTATAACCAAAATTTAAGGTTATGAATTCTTAGCTTTTAAACTAAGTTAAAATCAATCAATGTCTGCACTTCCGGTCGTGGTGATTCGTTAACTTGATAAAATATATCCACCCTTATTCAGGGGGTTGGTGTTTGTGTAGCCTCTGTAATTAACTATAAACGAAACGAACGTGAATACTGTCCACACAAGTTGCACTGTGGTGCTTCGACCTTTTCAAACGTCGATTTATATCCATCCCTTGCCCATCCCCAAACAACCCCTCGTTGAATTGAACATTTAATTCTAAACCTTTGTAAACTACCCGGAAAACATTTACATTAATATTTACGGTATTTACGTATGAAAATTTAAAATTTCATCTTTTCGTAATGGCGCAAAACAAGTAACAGAGTTTAACAACTGTAATTAAAGTTAATTAAAAGTAGTGGTAATAGCAGTTTGCCGGCTTTCTATAAAAGGCATCACACGCACGAGAAATGAAAAGCAGAAAATCACCTCCTCTTCGGTCGCATCTTCTCGTTTTCTCTTCTTTGGTTTCTGAGGAAAACACAATGCGCGCTCGGTGCAACGGCGCCGAGTTCATGGTCGCCGCATTCGACCGCTCGAGCTTGACCAGAAGACCAGCGGACCACCTTTGTGTTTGCGCTGCCATGACTATGACTGACTGCGCTCATGCATCATAAGTGCTTACATTCGGTGCATTCATGAGAATACTAGTTCCGCTTTGTGGTTATGTTAGTGTGTGTGTCAATATGGCTGCGGATGTTATTTGGGTTGCCTAGTTACAACACTGTGCCAATATCTTTTTAACGCGTGTGTTTATTTAGACTGCGCGTTTTTTTCGATTACTCCATTTAATACTCTTGTCGAATTTAATGCGTGCTTACACAGACGAAAAAAAAGAAAAAAAAAAAAAACCAACAAAGTAAAGATTCGCTGAGTCAGACTAATTAGATCACAAAAAAATAAAATACTGCAGACGCACGAATTTGAATTTAAATGGATATTTGTATTTGTATTTGGAAATAAATAAATTATTAGTCTAGATTGTACATTGCACGTTGCACCGTAAATTGTAAAACATCAAAAGCGGAAAACAAAGGCAATGTGTCTATGCATCTATGGCGGCGTGAATGTGAAACAAAGAAAATGCGAAATGTTCATTTGTTCGCGAAACAACACCGCAGCTGCGCAGCTGCCGCTCGTGGGAATTCAGAAAATTGCAACCGGCAATCCGAGCACAATCCCTTATAAGTCATGTCGAAAGACAATCGGTTTCATCGTGTGACGAAAGTTAGCCTAACTTAAATCTAAGCGCGCAATTATTTTCGATGTCAATGCGAACATGTGTTTTCTTGACATGTTGACGTTCTCAGCAGTGGAAATAATGATCGGAGGAGGAAAAAATAAAAAATATATAAGAAAGAAAAGCCTTGGACATGAAAATTTATGATTTTTTATTCTATACTAGCTTTAACCCTTGGCTTCGCTCGCGAATATCTAAAATAATGAAGTTGCTTCCGTACGCGTCTGTAGTCACAGAAGAAGTAACAATGAAGTAGAATGGCGGGAAGTTTAAAATGGCTGAAAGTATAGTCTATGGAAGTATAGTGTACAGTCTCCATAGTGTAGTCAATTGGATTTGATGTTGACGTAGCTGTCGGTAATACAGTGTGATAATACAGTGTGATGGTACTATAGTACTTAGATTTGAGCTTCATTGTTGGAATGCTAGATGGCGTTAAAGTAGTCAAATAGCCAGATGCAGAGGTATTATTGGCTAAACAATTTCTTTATTTTATTTAAAAAATAATTTGTTTTATTAAATAAAAAGTAGCCTATAACCATTCGGGGACCCCTAAGAATATGTGTACAAATTTTCATGATGATCGGTTAAGTAGTTTTTGCGTGAAAGTGTAACAAACATCAGGACATTCGCATTTATAATATTAGTAGTAGGGATATGTCAAAATCACACAGATTTTCAATTTTTTACTTAAAAATATTTTTAAATTGAAATTTGTTTTGTTTAACTGCATTTACCCATCCAAATCGCACACTAAATCCAAAAACTAATTTTATTGCATTCGCACTCTGTTTGACAAAATAAATCAAAGTCGTAAATCACTCGCGCACTCACGCTGCAATCGCCTCGTTAAAACGAGTTCATTTTACGAATCCATAAAATATTTATTTTATTATTATATACTCTTATTATGCAAAATATACTATCCCGAAGCGCGTTAATAATGAAAATGTTGCAAAGAAAATTGAAATAGATGCGAATGTTGACGATAAAAAAATCAATTTCCGCTTTGAGCGGATTTAATATGCTTTTTTAGCGTGTTTTATTGTTTGTTGTGGTATTTCGCGGACTGCTTCAGCGATACATTCAATTATCCTGAATCCTGAGCATTTTTTTCCGTGTGTAAAGTCGGATGTCAGCTTGATACTGATTGCGAAATATGTTTGCGACGAGCTGAAAATAACCGCGGTGCAATTTTCGAACGAAATTTTTGTTTTGGTGCAGTTTTATGCCTGGAAATAAAAAAAATGAAGTGTCAATCATTGAAAACGTGATGATTGCGTGAGTATCACTAAGTATTTCCTACATAATTAGTTGCTAAGTAATTATTTACACTAGGAAATGTTAAATTATTAAATTTATTAGTTTTATTAATTTTTATTCTTATTCTGTGCACGAATAACGTAAAATCTTGAAGACAATGCACTGCACGTCGCAGACATGGAAGTAAAACATCATGGATTCATTGACAGTCGGAAACACGTGTTGACGACCGCATCAATTACGGTTGTTGCATGTTGTTGTTGGTTGGTGTTGTCGGTTGAGGCAGAACATGGAACGTGAGTGGCTGATTAAATTTCTCTTTCGTTATTTGTGCTTAACTCTTGTTGCACTTGCTTCAATGCAACTTTGTAAATTGAGAAAATATCTGTCTTTGCTTTTATGGAAATTGCTTGGAATTTGAACGATTTATAGATATAATAGAAATTAGAATCACGAAAGAGAAAAGAAAAGCTTTTGATTGAGATTGAGAAGAAAAGTTTGTTCGAGTTGATATTGAAATTGGTAAATATAAATAATCAATCGTTAAATTGATTGGAATTGATTGAAATTGATGGTTTCATATAAATATGCGATATATTAGTAATAATTTAGATTTGTGGAATTCTTGGCAGGATATCAAGTAAACTGCTTGCAAATAACATCGAAAATGATAAACTTCTAAATTTACATCTGATTTGTTACTTCATTTCATCATAACTCAAAAACTAAAAGTGCTACACTTAATTTTTAAACAATATTAGATTTTATAAACATTAGTAAATCTAAATATATAATATAATGTTGCTATATTGTTTATATAAAAAGTTATAAACAAAAAACTAAAATATTTCATAATTTTTATAATATTCACTTAAAATAGCTGTATGTTTTGATTAATTAACTTATTTTGATTAAATATTATTGTATATTATCCGAAATTTAATACTAAAGGGATATTGGTAAACATGTAACTGTACCTCATTTAGTTTTCGAGTTATTAATTAATAACTCGGTCAAAACATCTACAGTTGCGGTAAACAGAACCTTCACTCAATATGCCAAAGTTATTGTAAAATAATTCCGAAACTAGAAACGCTAGATTAAATATTTTTTCACAGTTATATTCAGAATTAAATCCTTTATTTATTTATGTCAAAATTGGTCATATTTAGTTTTTAATAACAATCTAAACCAAAAATAACAAAATTTATACAAAACCTCAAACATTCAACTTATTTTGTTTATAACTTTTGATATATACATCCGATTTGCACAAATTAAACAATTTTAGATGTAAAATTTAATAATAAACAAATACTGCAATAATTGTACTTACACTTAGATTAGGTTCGGAGATATTCACTAATTACCAAGATAATCACTGCTTTTAACTATGTCACGTTTACCACTCGTTATCACAAGTTATCTTTTGTTGATTCCAGATTGCTCAACCGACAGTAAATCACGCAGCACCGCCAACAAAAGCTCGCACACGTGCAGGAGTATCACAAAGACTCAGCGTGAACCACTGAATCACCTTATTACTTATTGGGATCCCGCGATATTGGACACCGCAAGATGACAAATCGTCGATGCAGCTGAAATAGAAAACGCAGCCACACTCACACTCCACACCAGTCAATGCTCAGTGCTCGCCGCGTTAAATTGTAAATTCATGGAGAATAAAAGCTCGCGCATATTTGAATATTTGAACTGGACTCGTGAAACACTCTTTACTTCCGACCGCGTCGGTAAAGCAGTGCGCGGTTTTTTTTCGCGCGCAAAATAAGTTGTCAAACAAAAGTCTTCAGTGCGAAAGGTGTGCGTAGGAAGAAGCAGTGTGATCTCACGACAGCAAACAAGCTGCCATGTGAAAAGTGCTTCGCCGAAGGTGGTTTTCGCTGTGAAAATTCGAGGATTACGGATTAACGCCGCGCAAGATGCCGTGCAAGAATCAGTATGATCTGGTGCAGAACGACGAGTACGACACACGTATTCCTGTCTATCCAGAGGAGGCTTTCATGCATGGCATTACATTTCAAGCTAAGGTATGTGTCTTTACTATTTATAAAGATTTAAAATCGAAAAAATTAAATTTTTAAATTTAGTAAGGTTAAAAGTATTTTAGTTGAAATTTCAACCGCTAGATGGCGCTTTTGATGTTTGACAGAAACAAAACTACGATTAATTTGAACGATTGTGTTTTCACGTGCGAATGGTTATTATTAGTGCGTAATGGAAATCGTCCGTAAATATTTTCGATGTATTTCGGTCCCACCGCCGTCTCCGCCGCCGCATTTGATCTCTCGGCGCGCGCGGATACATTTTCCGTTTTGTTTACGTTTCACTGGCTGAGCCAAACGTTCGTTCGTTTGTGTAATATAATCGCCTTGACTTCACCGTCTGGCTTCGAGTGTGTTTGATTTATGTCACTCGCCTTGTCAGGGAATTTCCCAATTTCCCAAATCTCGCGCCGCCATTTTGATCTAATTATGTGCGGCGTGTTGAAAATTTGCTTTCAATTAAAACCCGCATTTTTACTGAACAAATTGTTCAACATGATGAAATGTTTTCCGTGTTAAATATTATGATTCATAACATCCGAATTGATTAGCATCTCATTGCAATTAGTCATCGGATTAGTATTACTTTCGTGTAAGTAATTATAGTAAATACCTGGTATGTTATAATGAATAAAACGGATCTATGTACGTTTGTTTTGCACTGCGTGATTATTTTGTTATATTGCAGTTTAGTGTGGAATGCGCACGCTCGTTCATTCATAAATTTGTTTACACGTGTTTTACACGGTGATGTTTGTTACACTTTCACGCAAAAACTACTTAACCGATCATCATGAAAATTTGTACACATATTCTTAGTGGTCCCCGAATGGTTATAGGCTACTTTTTATTTAATAAAAAATTATTTTTAAAATAAAATAAAGAAATAGTTTAGCCAATAATACCTCTGCATCTGGCTATTTGACTACTTTAACGCCATCTAGCATTCCAGCAATGAAGCTCAAACCTAAGTACTATAGTACCATCACACTGTATTATCACACTGTATTACCGACAGCTACGTCAACATCAAATCCAATTGACTACACTATGGAGACTGTACACTATACTTCCATTGACAATACTTTCAGCCATTTTAAACTTCCCGCCATTCTACTTCATTGTTACTTCTTCTGTGATTACAGACGCGTACGGAAGCAACTTTATTATTTTAGATATTCGCGAGTGAAGCCGCTAGTAAATAATATTTACACAGCGATTAAGTTTTGTTTAATTTTTAATATAAATTTATCTAAGTGAGGTTATGTTGCAATTCTATGACATTTCCTAGTTGGTCTGTTAGTATTCTAATCGTGATAGAACAACGCAGTGTAATTGTAAAGCTTTAAAGCTTTCGCTAGTCTAACAAAGCTGATCTGATGTCTTACTGTAGTTATATCATAACCCTCGCTTAGGACGGTCTATTGCGTGCGGCTGGTTGCCTACAAAGGAGTTTATAATTAAGTTTCTTGCCGCTCGGCACTGGTTTATGAATGCACGTCGCGTAGACTAGTACACGCGTCTGCCACGAGATGCTTGAAAGGCACGTAAATATAAAATGGCTCACTAGCTCATCTACTCTACTCTGTGTTGGTTGGGTTTTCGACAGAGGAGAGAAAAGTTTTCGTAATTTTCCAACACTTTTACACTTTTCACCGGGCTTGTAACGCCTGTAACTTTCGCCATTACTGTTCGTCCAACGTCAAAGCCATCAAACCCAAGCGAGGATGCCGAGGATTTAATTCCGAATTGGGGGATGACGATGACGATGCAGAGTGTGTATTGATGAGATGGGCGCATTTTATAATTGGATTACGCGTAGAACTCCGCAGAACTGATCAGCGCGCGCCCGGTGTTTGCCAAAATTTAAATTGGAAACTAAAGCTTAGAATTAAAAAAATCCAGCGTGTTATTAAAATACTTGGAATAAATTTTTACTTCAATCGATATTCATATTTTTTCATTTACAGATGAAATTTCTTTGGTTTCAAAGCAAATTATACACGAAAACAAATCGGATTTGGTTTTTAATGAGTTCAAAAGTATTTTAATGAATTTTTCTATAAATAAAACATGAAAAGTAGAATATTAGTAATAATAATGAAGTTTCGCGGGGAATAACCTTGAAATTTTCAATTATTTTACATTTAACCACTTTCATGCGCTGCTATTGTACTGTCTGCATGATTTTGCACCTTGTGTGCACTTCCAGGAAGATTCCTCCATTAACTTTTATGTTCTTCGACATAATGCATTCCCCGCGAGGTGCAATTTCGTTTACGAGCTTAAGCAACGCCCCGTTTGACTGGAATTGAAAATTGGAGGTGCTACAAAAATTGATGGTCAGTTTTGTGCGCGGAGGAGACACAAACTCAAGTTGACAAGCTGTACAATCGAAAATCCACATAATAACTTATTTATACCTAGAGTTTTGAGCTTCTGACATGTTGACAAATTGATATCTTGTGGTTTCAGACGTTTTTACCTTCAAAAATATTCGAAACATGAATTTAAAGTTGAGTTTTCTTTGCACTGCGCGTGGGTTACTCCCAAGTTAGATAAGAAGAGAGTGCAGCAACCTCTGCAGTGTTTGGAAACGTGCGTTTTACTGTTAAGTTAAGCCAGTTATTCAAATGTAAACCAACCAAAACGCATTACACACGCCTACACAATTCATCAATCCCCACACACAGGAAATGCACTCGAATAACATTCAAATATGATCAGCCACCGGGCGTCAATTGGGTTGCATACATTATTCTAATTTACATTTTCAAATCTATTTGTCATCATTGTGCGCGTATAAATTATGCAGTTATTTTCTATGCTTTTGGTATTGCGGGCGTAAATAATTGCGCGTTTTGTGGCCGAACGAGGAAGCAGACTGAACAATAATGCATTATTTGCGTCGGGCGCTAACGAACGCCTGACAATAAATTAATTCGCTGTGTTTATTCTGGCTACAAACGACTCTTAATTCGATTACGGGCTTAATTGGATATCGATATTGGAAATTCATTTTCTCTCGCGTTTTCAAATTCCAATTGAGTAGGTATTTAGTGATTTATAACGAATATCTAAAATAATGAAGTTGCTACCGTATGCGTCTGTAGTCACAGAAGAAGTAACAATGACGTAGAATGGCGGGAAGTTTAAAATGGCTGAAAGTATAGTCTATGGAAGTATAGTGTACAGTCTCCATAGTGTAGTCAATTGGATTTGATGTTGACGTAGCTGTCGGTAATACAGTGTGATAATACAGTGTGATGGTACTATAGTACTTAGGTTTGAGCTTCATTGCTGGACTGCTAGATGGCGTTAAAGTAGTCAAATAGCCAGATGCCGAGGTATTATTGGCTAAACAATTTCTTTATTTTATTTTAAAAATAATTTTTTTTATTAAATAAAAAGTAGCCTATAACCATTCGGGGACCACTAAGAATATGTGTACAAATTTTCATGATGATCGGTTAAGTAGTTTTTGCGTGAAAGTGTAACAAACATCAGGACCTTCGCATTTATAATATTAGTAGGGATATTATACGCTAGATGTATAAAAATTGTGATTTACAAGAAGTACTAAATTTAAAGTCGCAAACGCCAACACCAGCCGCCACCAGGGCCCCCAGTAGAGAAAAAGTTGTATATTTTATTCGTTTTATATCCATGCATGGCTCAACGAACGCGTAAACGGCGTACTTATGCTGAAAATCGCAAAAAATGCTTCTCATGTGTTTGAGAACATGAGCCACGGCTTAAATGAAGATTTGCTTTTGTGTTCGAGCATACATCATCGAATTTCGAGGCAAAAATCTCCGCAAATCTCAAACATATAAAAGTTAACATTTAAAACCGTCAGATGTCGCTACCAGTATCATTTGCACAAACGTTTTGTTTATGTTTTCGTTTCTTTGAAAACAAGATAAAAGATACAGTTGGAAACGTATCTGCGGAGTTGAAAGTCAAAGCAAAAGCAAATTAAATGAATCGACCTGCAAAGTGCACTCAACTTGTCGACTTGCTGTGTTTGCGACACAAAATAACCAACGCGCTGGCTGTGCTCTTAATGAGCTACTGGAAAACGCGGAAAACGAAACCAAATAAAACAAGTGCACTTTATTTATTTATACACATAAACTAAAATATCAAACAGAATAGAAAATTGAAAGTAAATATTTTCATTCAACTTTGCAAAGTGTTGTATGATAGAGTAGGAAATTTCAATGTATATAAATGTTTACATTCATAATGCGCTTAAAAATTCGTTTGAAGTTCAGGAATGCGCATTAATTCTTACGCTTTGCAATGCAAAACACAAAATGCAACATGAATCTATGTTTTTCTTTGTGTTTGGCTTATAATTGACCTTGTTGCAGTCATGGCGGCGGTTTCATTGAGTTAAGAAAGAGTTGTGATGCAGTCATGCTTCGTGAGTTTGCTCACGAGTTTGATTTGCATTTATTGGCATTGATGCAGTGTAATTTAATAGTAAAATTGAAAATAAAGCGCGCAGGAGGCAAAAATTCAGGAAAAAAATGAAAATATTAAAAATAAACGCGGATAAATATAGTTTGAGTTGTTGTACTCATTAGTGACTCTCGGTTTCTTCCAGTGTGTGCCTTGTCAATGCTGTCATGTTATTAGTAAGACAGATTTTTAATTTTTGAAGCCTTGACAGTTCATATTTCAAGAATTTTAACGAAAATTAATCGGCAAGTTTTATTTTTAAAATAATTGGACTAGAAATTATTTATTTAAATATTTTAATGGTTTATGTGATAGATAATTTTATTATCTTGCTATTGTAGTTGAAATTTTTGTTTTATCATTTTTAGTTTAAAAGTTATTGCGATTTTTATGAACTATTTCATTTTTCATAAGTATCTTATATCTTGTCTTATAAATCCTATTTTATTATCTCTTAAAAGTACCCTCGAGGCGTTAATATAGTCGAATTTGTTTACATTTATCAGCAGGAAAGTGGT